TAAATATATATATATATATATATATATATATATATATATATATATATATATATATATAATCAATCTAATATTAAATATTTCTCATTTCAACATATGTAGTTCATATTCTTGCGCCCCCCTCCCATCCACCCATACGTGTTGGGCACCCTCTGATGAATAACTATATGATCAACTAAACAACTACAAGACACCATTATGCCGCCGCCCAGTGGTTAGTGGTACTTATTGATGCTGTAACAGATAGACCATAGATAAGGGATGAGCTTCACAAGAAGTTACAATTGCAATAAGTTAACAGATCAGGATGTTAACATGATCAGAAATGAACATGCCAAAGCTGGCGTTGCAAAATTCGTGCGCGACATTAAGTTAACAGTGGAAGAAGTTAACAAAAAAAGTTAACATTACAAGAAGGTTCCGATATATTAAGTTGGCATCTAAGAAGTAAAAAATACGAGAAGAGTTAACATTGCAAAATTTTAACATTACAAACTAAGGCAGTGTTGTTGTTTTTTCATACGTATTACGTGTTGCGTAGCTAGGGTTAGAGCCTCGGGAGTGCCGCCCCCCCCCCTCCCCCGCACCTCCTTAGAACACCAGTGCGCATGTCCAGTGTTGCATATTGTTCACTTTGTGGATTGGCTAGTTTGTAGAAGATAGGTGAATACCAAAAGATCGATTTTTATTTTTAAAAATAATAGTTACGCCAATGGGGAGTATGTGACGTCAGTGCAAAAGCAGGAAGAGAGGTACATCTAAGGCGGACGTAAGCCAACATTTAGGCCCCACTTAGACAAAAACGAGGGCCCAAGTAGACAAAAAAATAGCAGACGCAGACTATAACTAAGGCAGACGCAGTCAAAAACTAGGGGAGACTAAGACAAAAGCTTGGAAAGACTGATACAAAAACTGGGGCAGATGTAGACGAAAACTAGGGCAGACTTAGACAAAAATTAGGGAAGACTGAGACAAAACTAGGGCAGACTGAGACAACACTAGGGCAGACTGAGACAAAACTAGGGCAGACTGAGACCAAATTAGGGCAGACTGAGAAAAAACTAGGGCATACTGAGACAAAAACTTTGGCAGAAGTAGACAAAATCTAGGACAGACTGAGACAAAATTTAAGACAGACTGAGACCAATACTAGGGCAGACTGAGAAAAAAGCTGGGGCAGACAGTCATAAAAACTAGGGCAGCTCACCTTACAGGCACACCAAGTCATGACCCCCCCACCCCCATCAGTATATCTTAAAAGATTTAAGTCTGCTATGGCAGATTTTAAGTTTTGCGTAAACTAAGACATTCGTGTGTAAGTCTCAACGTCGCAGTCTAAAATGAGTGGCTTCAGTGACTCGACCACCACGTGACCGATGTGTGACCTTAACGCGCCACTCTGTAACACAACCTTTTGAATGGTGTGGTGACCCACCAATAGGCATTTGTCTGTGTGGAAATAACTGATGTCACCGTGACCTGCCGACACCCCTCCTATAAAGAGGTGCACGTGGCACGAGTGAGTGACTTCTGCTGGCGCGCGAGGCCTCGCCGAGTCAATCTTGAGCAAGTGACACTTGATGTTTCTGGTCGCAGTGAAAAGTTAGGGGGGAAAACTCTGTGCTATTGTCAGACCGTTGTCACACTGTTGCCTCCGCAGCGCACACTTTCAGGTGAGTTATTTTTGCGCCATATTCTGACAATGTCGAGTTTATCCCATTGAAAGATAAACATTTAAGACAAACTGCATTGAAATAGAGCATCAATATCGATTGCATTGTTGTGGAATTTATTTGTTGACCTTGTAATTAGTGTTTACTTTTTAATCAATGACTGTTTAAGTCTAAACTGATTTAAAAATCGGACGCTGTCTAACTGGCGATAGCGCTACCATAACTTGTAACTGGCAATAGCGCTACCATAACTTGTTACTGGCAATAGCGCTACCATAACTTGTGAATGGAGATGGCACTACCATAACTTGTAACTGGCAATAGCGCTACCATAACTTGTAACTGGCGATAGCGCTACCATAACTTCTAACTGGCGATAGCGCTACCATAACTTGTAACTGGCGATAGCACTACCATAACTTGTAACTGGCGATAGCGCTACCATAACTTGTAACTGGCGATAGCGCTACCATAACTTGTTACTGGCAATAGTGCTACCATAACTTGTAACTGGCGATTGCGCTACCATAACTTGTAACTGGCGATAGCGCTACCATAACTTGTAACTGGCGATTGCGCTCCCCCAAAACTTGTAATTGGAGATAGCGCTACCATAACTTGTTACTGGCAATAGCGCTACCATAACTTGTTACTGGCAATAGTGCTACCATAACTTGTAACTGGCGATTGCGCTACCATAACTTGTAACTGGCGATAGCACTACCATAACTTGTAACTGGCGATTGCGCTCCCCCAAAACTTGTAACTGGAGATAGCAATGCTATTTGTAACTGATCATAAGGATAGAAATAACAAATATGTGGACGATAGAGCTGATATTTTTATTTTTTTTAAATATGGTAAAACGATGATAATTATAATGATGATGTTAAGGATGATAAAATAATGAAACCAATGACGTTACTAACTTTACAGAAAAATGCCGACCATCAGCTTCCTTCTCGTGGTGTCAGCCATCTTTAACCTACCGCAAGTCTTTCCTTTTCTTACAACCTCCCGTGCCACATTGGACACATCGCTAGGTCCGGTCGCCGGCTTCAAGAAACAGGTAGCTGGAGTCGAACTTTCTGTTTTCTACGGGATCCCATTCGCGACTCCTCCTGTTGGAGAGCTCCGCTTCAAACCCCCGGTGCCAGCCCAACCGTGGCAGGACCCACGTGACGTCACACAGCGGCCGAACTCTTGCTGGCAGGTCATTGACACGGCTTTCAATCGCTTCCCTGGGGTGGAGATGTGGAACCCGAACACGCCAAGGAGTGAGGACTGCCTGTACCTCAACGTGTGGAGACCGGCCGGTAACATGTCCAGCGCCAAGCCAATCATGGTGTGGATCTACGGGGGTGGCTTCTCCTCGGGGTCTTCAACGCTGGACGTCTACGACGGCAGCGAACTGACCGCCAGGAATGACGTCATAGTCGTGTCGATCGCCTACAGAGTCGGAGTAATGGGATTTCTCTACGCGGGCACTAGTGACGCCCCTGGCAACGCCGGGCTGCTGGATCAGGCGTTGGGGCTGAAGTGGGTCAAGGACAATGCTGTAAATCTCGGAGGCTCCCCCGACGACATCACCATATTCGGGGAAAGTGCCGGCGCCGCGAGCGTGGGGCTCCACCTGCTCTCTCCGGTGTCCAGAGATTTGTTCACCTACGCCATCATGGAGAGCGCCTCCCCTTTCGGTCCTTGGGTGATACAGGGTCACGACCTCGCCAGATCTAGGACACGCCAGCTGGCCACCATCTTGGCGTGCCCGACGACTTCAGATTATCGAGAAATCGTCGAATGTCTGAGAACAAAGGATCCCGGGGCGTTGGTCGAAAAACAGTTTGACCTAGTTTCATACTTTTTTGAGGTCCCAATCGGACCAGTTGTAGACGGCATTTTCTTAAACGACACGCCTCAGGCACTGATCAGCAGAGGCGACGTTAAAAACACGAGCATTTTGATTGGCGTCAACAAGAACGAAGGCATTTACTTTGCAATCTACGGTTTCAAGAATTATTTCCCGCTCGATGGTGACGGGACACTGACAGAGGGCCAGTACAACGCGATTCTCGGGGAGATCTTCCTCAACAACGAGACGAGAGTTGAACAGGCCAAGGGCGTATACGGAAGTGACCCCTCGAGTTCGTACACCGACATAATCGACGCCGTCACCGGCGACATGCTGTTTAAATGCCCGGTGGTCGGTTTCGCCCAGAAATACGCAGAGCTCGGCGGTCAGGTCTTCATGTACAGCTTCGAGCACAGGGTCAGCACAAACCCGTGGCCGGAGTGGCTGGGGACGGTCCACGGCTACGAGATCGAGGTCATCTTTGGTCTTCCCTTGGACCCGAGCGCGAACTACACAGCGCGTGAGAGGCAGCTGAGTGTGGACATGATGACCTGGTGGACACAGTTCGCCAAGACTGGGTCAGCCACAGTTTGTTTACACATTGATGAACTTCTCCCAGCGTCATGAACTATGTTTTTTTTTAAATATCGCTTTTGATTCATATTGCTTCGCTTAGATTAATACATAGATATTTTCAAGTCCAATAATTAAGTTTTTGACCAAAAAAGTATTTTCGTGAATATCTATTTAGTTTTTAACCAAAAAAAGCAACAAAAAAAAAAAAATGGTGTGAAAGCCTTTATAAAAATTCGCTTTTGCTCGAACGGCTCATTGACCCACTTCCCGTCAACCTATCGCGCTGCAACTGGGCACACAAATTCGTTGCCGATGACAACAGATTCTATCAAATTGTAGCCCCACCCCAAAAACCCTACCCCAATAATCATTTTTTAAAAACTGTTTTTCAAAGGGAAGTTGCAGGGAATATGGCTACACGGATTTTACGAAATAAAACTCCAGATCACTGCGCTAAATGAAATTCTTGTGTTTTTTTTTTTTTTTTTAAATATCGCAAGTGCGTTTGTTGCGTGATATTTTATTTTGGTTTTTTGAAATAGCTGGTGAAATAAATCTGCCGTTTAAAGGCGGGTGGAACATTGGCCTATTTATATAAAGTAAAATAATAAAAAAATACGTATAAATAATTTATGCAACTAACTTTTTTTCCAGGGGTTGTTTAATTGTGTACGATAATTTAATGATCTAATGCCGGAGAAAATTTTTTTTTGCTAAAAAATAATAAAAATAATAATTAATGGTACATAATAATTATGTACCATTAATTATTATTTTTATTATTCAATTATTGAAGTCTAGGGTGATGTATTAACAAATCTTATTAACCACATGTTTCAGTTGGTGATTCACTAAGCTATAATTAATTGCCGTCTCTTCTTCCAGAAATCCTAATTCAGCCAGTGCAGACACCTGGCCAAGGTATACAACACGTGATCAGATTTACGTCATCATAGACACTAATGACGTCAGACTTGGCGCTCAGCTACGTCATCATGAGTGCGCCTTCCAAGAGAACCACAACGTCACGCATGGGACAGTTGGTAAGTAGACATTAGCCATAGGATAATTGGTAAGTAGACATTAGCCATAGGATAATTGGTAAGTAGACATTAGCCATAGGATAATTGGTAAGTAGACAATAGCCATAGGATAATTGGTAAGTAGACATTAGCCATAGGATAATTGGTAAGTAGACAGTAGCCATAGGATAATTGGTAAGTAGACAGTAGCCATAGGATAATTGGTAAGTAGACATTAGCCATAGGATAATTGGTAAGTAGACAATAGCCATAGGATAATTGGTAAGTAGACATTAGCCATAGGATAATTGGTAAGTAGACATTAGCCATAGGATAATTGGTAAGTAGACATTAGCCATAGGATAATTGGTAAGTAGACATTAGCCATAGGGTAATTGGTAAGTAGACATTAGCCATAGGATAATTGGTAAGTAGACATTAGCCATAGGATAATTGGTAAGTAGACATTAGCCATAGGATAATTGGTAAGTAGACATTAGCCATAGGGTAATTGGTAAGTAGACATTAGCCATAGGATAATTGGTAAGTAGACAGTAGCCATAGGATAATTGGTAAGTAGACAGTAGCCATAGGATAATTGGTAATTAGACATTAGCCATAGTATAATTGGTAAGTAGACAGTAGCCATAGGATAATTGGTAAGTAGACAGTAGCCATAGGATAATTGGTAAGTAGACAGTAGCCATAAGATAATTGGTAAGTAGACATTAGCCATAGGATAATTGGTAAGTAGACATTAGCCACATGATAATTGGTAAGTAGACAGTAGCCATAGGATAATTGGTAAGTAGACATTAGCCCATAGGATAATTGGTAAGTAGACAGTAGATGCTTTAAAAGTAGTTGTAGGACCCTCCAGGCCAAGTGTGCATCAGATGTCACCAGTTGTAGGACCCTCCAGGCCAAGTGTGCATTAGATGGCACCAGTTGTAGGACCCTTCAGGCCAAGTGTGCATTAGATGGCACCAGTTGTAGGACCCTCCAGGCCAAGTGTGCATTAGATGGCACCAGTGGTAAGATCCAGCAGGCCTAAAAATATAACCCTCTTGATTTCAAATGAAAAAGAAATAATCTATGACCTTTGATACCACAATGCCAACAATCAGAGACGCGCTTTCCTCTGTAAGCCATAATAACCATAATATCAAATATCAAAGCTCTTCAAAGGTCACTATACCGTAATGATAGCTATTTGTGTTGGCCATCTCATCTTGATGATGTTAATTTTAGGGTTTAGCTCCCAGGAGGGGAAATAAGTAGTAGCATCGTTAATACCCGCAAAGGGTGTTTGGGTGGGGGGAGGGGGGTCATGAAATTGCAAGCCGTTTTGTTTTGACATTTACTTGTAAAGCAATTAGCGTGACTCAAAGTCAGTCGAGCGCGGTAACATCTTGAAGCAGTTTGATATTACTTTCCAAGACAAGCAGAGTGTACAATGTAATATTGGGAAGCATTTGAAAAAAGCCGGAAAAGATATGATAGTTCTCCACTTTGGGGGGTGGGGGGGGATTTAATTTTATTTTATTGAACAATAGGTGGGGTATTCTCTCTCTTTCCTCTCCTCATTCCTCTCCTCTTTCCTCTCCTCATTCCTCTACTCATTTCTCCACTCTCTCGCACCCTGGAAGCCAATTGATCAAACTCCCTCCTTTCTGACCCTACCCCATGTCCTAGAACCTAGTCAACCCGACCCTAGCTCTCCTGTACCCAATTCCCCCTTAACCCAACTACCCCCTGACCCCTAAACGTAACTACCCCCTGGCCCCAGTCCCCAACTCATCCTTGAACACAGCCCCCCCCCCCCCCACGAAGGAAGACATTCAAATACCCTGAATTTCAAAAAGATATGACCAACCACCTCCCCCTTTCTTATATGAAGCTCAGATAGATTGAGCATTTCACAAATCTGTAGTTAGAAACAGCATCTGTGTGATGATTTGTTAATCTACATAACAAAACACAGTCGCTCACACATATATGTGCTACCCTACATGCTCAAGGTTCGAGCCGCATGTAGACGAAGCTAGGGCATCTCTTCCGGAATGAAACAAGTGAATTGTGTAGGCCCAACTGTGTCGTATTTTGCTTTTACTGCCCAATTACACTGCAGCTCTATTAGCTCCATCTGCAAATGTACAGGTGCAGTTTCCACGTCAATGACAAAGGGTTACGAAAGAGCTCGAAATTACTATCTTTGCTTTAAAATCAGGAAAGCGCCGTGCAAAATCGGGCGCGAAGTAAGATTTTCAGCAAAGTTTGCATTTGGAAACGCCATAGCGTTGACTTGGGTATAATTGTAAGCCGGTTCAAGACCTCGCGGGCCTGATATAATTGTAAGGCTGGCTTGATGTGGTCCGCGGGCCTTGAGTTTGACAAAACTGCACTATATGTATTGACGAAACACTGTATGTATTTAGGTACTTTAACTCTAGATGCTGATAGCACTGTCTGTGATTGTATGGGCGTTTACATCAGACATAAAGTCCCATCATCTGTTGTGAAGGTCCCGTCATCTGTTGTGCAGTTTCCATAATCTATTGTGAAGGTCCCATCATCAGTTTTGAAGGTCCCATCATCTATTGTGAAGATATCATCATTCGTTTTGAAGGTCCCGTGATATGTTGTGAAGGACCCAATCATCTGATGTATCGACACGATAATTTTTGTCCCATTCAGTTGTTAGGTCGCCGTCATTCTACTCGTACCGAACAATAGGTCAAACTATTCCCTGGGAGCTTTCGGTCTATAGTCCTGAGACAGTAGGTCAAGCTATTTACTGGGAGCTTTCGGTCTATAGTACTGAGACAGTAGGTCAAGCTATTTACCTGCAGCTTTAAGTCTGTACTACTGAAAAGTAAGCGAAGCTATCCACCGTTAGCTCTCAGTCTATAGTAGGTCTTCCATTTATTAAAGTGCGGAATGTTGACGAAATAAAGAGATTGCGGGGGGGGGGGGGATATTCGGGGCTACTTTGGCATTTAACAAAAGTTTTGGTAAAGTGCGGAATGTTGACGAAATAAAGAGATTGGGGGGGGGGGGGGGTGCTAATCGGTGCTACTCTGACATTTAACAAAAGTTCTGGATTCTATTGTTAAAATCTATTGAACTGATTATATCTAAGGTCTGAATTCTATCTTTGTAGCATTAAACATCGCCGTTTACCAAAAAGCTCCATGTGTGGCCATAGCATGACGCAGACAGAGCTTTCATAAAGCTGCGAGTCACATGATGTGATAATGCTGGATAATCATGTCATATTATGTGACAATTATTCATAGATAATCTATAGGCGTTGTGTGGTATAAATTACATAATTTTGTCACATGTTGTGATAATCTTAGATGGTCGTTTCACATAATTGGATAAGCTTAGATAATCATGTTACATTGTGGAATAATCTTATATAATCCTGTAACCGCTTATATAATCCCGTACTGTCTTTGATTCAATTGTAATGTTGTAGTTTTTTAAATAATACCCTGAAGGAATACAACTTCATTTAGAGGTTAACATTTATCTCCTGTAAATCACTCCGTGAGCCATGGTTGAGCCATGTTTCAGCCATCTTTGATACATGGTTGAGCAATTTTTGAGCCATATTTGACCCATTGTTGAGCCATATTTGAGCCATTATTTAGCCATTGTTGAGCCATGGTTGAGCCATGTTTGGGCCATGGTTTAGCCATGGTTGAGCCATATTTGAGCCATTGTTGAGCCATTGTTGAGTCATGGTTTTAGCCATAGCTGAGCCATGTTTGAGCCATGGTTGAGCCATTGTTCAGCCATGGTTGAGCCATTTTTGAGCTATGGTTGAGCCATGGTTTAACTATAGTTGAGCCATGTTTGAGTCATGGTTGAGCCATGTTTGAGCCATGTTTTAGCGATGTTTGATCTATGGTTGAGCTATGTTTGAGCCATGGTTGAGCCATGTTTTAGCCATAGTTGAGCCATGGTTGAGTTAGGACAGGGGCTCCCAGTCTGGAGTTGCGAGACCTTGTTTCAGTGACTCCGCCATAGAAAGCTGATATCATTTGTTTTGTCTGTGCAAGAGCTGCTAGAATTAATGTAAGATTTCCGAGTATTACAGGGTTGAGGCAGACATGATTTTAAAAAAAAGTTCTTTCACTGTCACTTCAATGGGCATGATTTGGGACATATTATCCTAAAGATTTATGCACTGCAAGAATATTTATTTTACAGGGATATAGTTACAGACAGAATAGTTATTTTACAGGGATATAGTTACAGACTCAGACAGAATAGTTATTTTACAGGGATATAGTTACAGATCGAATATTGATTTTGCAGGGCTATTGTTAAAGACAGAATAGTTATTTTACAGGGGTATAGTTACAGACTCAGACAGAATAGTTATTTTATAGGGATATTGTTACAGACAGAATAGTTATTTTGCAGGGCTATTGTTACAGACAGAATAGTTATTTTGCAGGGCTATTGTTACAGACAGAATAGTTATTTTGCAGGGATATTGTTACAGACAGAATAGTTATTTTACAGGGGTATAGTTACAGACTCAGACAGAATAGTTATTTTATAGGGATATTGTTACAGACAGAATAGTTATTTTGCAGGGCTATTGTTACAGACAGAATAGTTATTTTACAGGGCTATTGTTACAGACAGATTAGTTAATTTACAGGGCTATTGTTACAGACAGAATAGTTAATTTACAGGGCTATTGTTACAGACAGATTAGTTAATTTACAGGGCTATTGTTACAGACAGAATAGTTATTTTGCAGGGCTATTGTTACAGACAGAATAGTTATTTTGCAGGGCTATTGTTACAGACAGAATAGTTATTTTGCAGGGCTATTGTTACAGACAGAATAGTTATTTTGCAGGGATATTGTTACAGACAGAATAGTTATTTTACAGGGGTATAGTTACAGACTCAGACAGAATAGTTATTTTATAGGGATATTGTTACAGACAGAATAGTTTTTTTTGAAGGGCTATTGTTACAGACAGAATAGTTATTTTGCAGGGCTATTATTACAGACAGAATAGTTATTTTGCAGGGCTATTGTTACAGACAGAATAGTTATTTTGCAGGGCTATTGTTACAGACAGAATAGTTATTTTGCAGGGCTATTGTTACAGACATATTAGTTAATTTACAGGGCTATTGTTATAGACAGATTAGTTATTTTATAGGGATATTGTTACAGACAGAATAGTTATTTTGCAGGGCTATTGTTACAGACATATTAGTTAATTTACAGGGCTATTGTTACAGACAGATTAGTTAAGTTACAGGGATATTGTTACAGACAGATTAGTTAATTTACAGGGATATAGTTACAGACAGATTAGTTAATTTACAGGGGTATTGTTACAGACAGATTAGTTAATTTACAGGGGTATTGTTACAGACAGATTAGTTAATTTACAGGGGTATTGTTACAGACAGAATAGTTAATTTACAGGGCTATTGTTACAGACAGATTAGTTAATTTACAGGGCTATTGTTACAGACAGAATAGTTAATAATGTCCCGATAACAATGTCTGTCTTATCAATTATTACAGGGCTATTGTTACAGACAGATTAGTTAATTTACAGGGCTATTGTTACAGACAGAATAGTTAATTTACAGGGCTATTGTTACAGACAGAATAGTTAATTTACAGGGCTATTGTTACAGACAGAATAGTTAATTTACAGGGCTATTGTTACAGACAGATTAGTTAATTTACAGGGCTATTGTTACAGACAGAATAGTTAATTTACAGGGCTATTGTTACAGACAGATTAGTTAATTTACAGGGCTATTGTTACAGACAGATTAGTTAATTTACAGGGCTATTGTTACTGATAAAATAGTTGTTTTCTATGGGTATTGTTACAGATAGAATGGTTATTTTACAGGGATTTTGTGACAGAATAGTTATTTCAAAGGGATATTGTTACAGATAGACTAGTTATTTCATAGGGGAATTGTTACAGATAGAAAAGTTATTTTATACGGGTATTTTGACAGATAGAATAGTTATTTTAAAGGGGTAGTGTGACTCATAGAACAATTATTTTAAAGGGGTATTCTTACAGATAGAATATGCATTTCAAAGGGATATTGTTACAGATAAAGTAGTTATTTGACAGTGGTAATGAGCAATAAATATTGGAAAATGCAAATTTTAATTTGTATTCTTCCATCTGTCCACAGAGAGAGAGTCACAGGAAGAAACCAACTTGATAGAGGTTCTCAGATCCATGGGGAAAAGGCATCATACCGTTAACGTCTAAAAGAAGCATGAAAGCACTCGACGATGAAGTCAAATGACTTAATAAAAAAAAGTTATAACAATTTGTTTTTTAAAAAGGAAACTGTAATTAATTTAAGAAAATAAGCTAAATGATCTTTTTTTAAATGGATATCGGTAAAGAAGAGTTGCAACAAGAATTTTTAAAAATCTTTTTAATTTAGATATAGTTTTAACATTTACATTAGTGTCATTCGTAAACAAGCGCAGAATAATTCATGGGTTTTTCTAATACTTTATGACAAGAATAGTTACATCTGTAAATAATTTGATTCAAAACTATGTTTTGCAAATAAAATTCATGAGTCATTATGTCCCTTAGTTTAATGAATTCATGTGTCATTATGTCCCTAAGTTACCTAAGTCATATGTCAATATGTCCCTCACTTACCAAAATTCATGTGTCAATATGTCCCTAAGCTACTGAACTAATGTGTCAATATGTCTCTTCGTTACTGAATTCATGTGTCAACATGTTCCTTAGTTAATGAATTCATGTGTCATTGTGTCCCTTAGTTACTAAATTCTTGTGTCAATATGTTCCTTAGTTACTAAATGCATGTGTCATTGTGTCCCTTAGTTACTAAATGCAAGTGTCAATATGTTTCTTAGTTACTGAATTCACGTGTCGAACATGTAACTTAGTAACTTAATTCATGTGTCAACATGTCCCTTAGCTACTTGAATCACGTTTGTTTTAAAGGGGAAATTCATTCTCTTCATTTTAATCTAATGTGAAAATAAATAATTATTAGACATATTAACTGATGCATCAACTGATGTATCAACTGATGTATCAACTGGTTTGATCGTACAAATGACAAGTCCAAGAATTAGAATGCAGTGTTTTAATTCAAGTATGTTTATTTTCTCCTAGACACGAAATTCCCCCTCCGGGTCTCCTAAAGAAAGCAAACTATTGAAGCGCTGATTAAATTATGAGATTTGAGTTATGCCTTCGTGTTAGCTCCAAAGACAAGACAACGCATACAAGGGAGCACACACAAGGCAACAGATGTGCGAATATTAAATGCCCCTAATAGTTGGAGTGACCTTTGCTTGAAGGCTTATTTGGCACGATGTGAACTTATAATGTTGCACAGAAAACTACATGCACACATCATCACAAACTCCATCAAGATGTCTCATAATAAAACCATGTTGCTGGGTCATGTCCACAAACACATGACCTTGGCACACTTGCCCCGGTAGAATGAAAACTTGTCATCTGTTTTGTAAAATACTATTTTATTCTTTCTTTCTATTATTAGACACAAGGTCGTCAACTTGACCGTTAGGAAAGTTGTCGATGAAGTTAGTTTGATCAAAGTTGACGTCAACGGAAAACTGTTGCTCTAATAAATTTTAAAAGGAATTTATTAATGTCTGATGTCTACGCGCATTGATGGGTCATGTCTACGCCAGAGAAAAACTTTAGTTGTTTAAATTGTTACAATGGTAAAATGTTGTATTGGTTAAAATATGTATTTATTTATATGCTGAAAATAAACACCTATATGCAATAAAAAAAAACATTTTCATTTGTTTGGATCAATAAAGAAACTTATCTTATAAGACGAGAAAAGATTAGCTTTTTTAAAATGATCTTTTGAATATAACTACAGTGTCATAGAAACATTGCAAAAATTGTAGGATTCTCTCTGTAACTTTCAGTTTTATATTTGAAATACACGACTATTTCTGGATCCTCATAACAATAGAATCCCTCTCTATATTTTCTATAACTTTAATAAGGACTGTTAACCTGATAACAATAGGTTTTCATGTATCTTACAAGTTAGTATCATAATATTTCATAGCATGCCTTCACAAAGTCGATTGCATAATACTCATGCTTAAAAAGATAACCTCAACATGAAATGGTTCTGTATCACCATGTACAGTTTATCTAAAGGTCACGCAGACATGTTCAATGGTTATATTTACTTTTTTGTTTTTACTGTAAAGCCCTCGTCAGCTCTCTCGTTGAATGGTGATCTGATGAGGGTTAAAGGATTCCGCTCTCGTCGTTGTTCCATATTTCAAGACTGCTATTCGCACCACCAATGTGTGGAGCAATGACGCCATGTTTCAAGGTTGCTATTCGCACCACCAATGTATGGAGCAATGACGCCATGTTTCAAGGCTGCTATTCACACCACCAATGTGTGGAGCAATGACGCCATGTTTCAAGGTTGCTATTCGCACCACCAATGTATGGAGCAATGACGCCATGTTTCAAGGCTGCTATTCACACCACCAATGTATGGAGCAATGACGCAATGTTTTAAGACTGCTATTCCCACCACTATCGTGTGTAGCTTTCAGTTTTGTTAACATGGTGAGGCGTACAGTTAAATGTGTGGTCAATGGATGTGTGTACATTTGATTTTTGACATCACTGCTGATTTGTTGATCCCTGAACACAAAATAAAAGAGAAATCAAAATTTGATTGGGATGAATTGTGTTTTTATACATCTTTAAAAAATTATTTGTTTCTAATGTGTTGTTAAATTTATAATTGTATTAATGGAATGGACAGCACATCACACATAGACTGTTAAAATGGTATCTATTTTATTCAAGAACTTTGGAGGGGTGGGGGGGATCAATCGACCCTTACACAGGAGTCGCCAATGTCCATCGGGAAATACATATTTATGACGTAATAACGAATATATTGTATTAAATTGTTTGGGGGCCACCACAACATCAGGAACTATATTAAAGAGTCGCGACATTAGAAAGGTTGAGAACCATTGTTCAAAGTGGGTGGTGTGTGTGAAGGGAAATTATTACTAAATTAATTTTACCAAAGCGTTACAAGAGTTACCTCCGCTGCGGTCTTTTGGTGATTTACCGACTTCACTGAACAACACGAGAAATTGACTTTGACTGGTCAAGTTGATCAACTAACATTCACTAGTAAAGTTAATCAACTTACATTCAATGGAAAAGTTGATCAACTAACATTCACTGTTGGTAAAGTTGATAAACTGACATTCATTGGTAAAGTTGATCAACTGATATTCACTGCTGGTATAGTTGATAAGCTTACATTCACTGGTCAAGTTGATCAACTGACATTCATTGGCAAAGTAAATAAACTGACATTTACCGGTAAAGTTGATCAACTGACATTCCCTGGTTAGATTGATACATTGAATCTTACTAAAATCTCAAAAGTTCTTCACAAAGATGTTCACAACACTGCTCTTGTCCTTGGACCACTCTCTTCTCTACTAACTAGCTTATACCTTGCACATTCTCACTACAGTGATCACTCAGACCACTCTCTTCTCTACTAACTAGCTTATACCTTGCACCTTCTCACTGCAGTGATCACTCAGACCACTCTCTTCTCTACTAACCAACTAGCTTGCACCTTCTCACTAATAGCGACAACAATGGAACTCCCCCCTGTCTAAACGCACAAGGTGACCTGGCATACCCCCACCCCCATTTGACCACTCACTAACTAGCCTTAAGCAATCCTCTCACCAACGTACAACCAACAACTTTCATCAACTGACCAACACGATCCCTAAGCAGATTTTAAGATTTGATCTCTTGACCTTCACTGGTTAAGGAGATGATACTCCTGGATCTATAGTGCAGCATAGAGCTTATATGCCGATAGCATGGAGCTTATGTAACTAATAGTATAATAATAGTATAGTTTGTTTAACTAAGAATATACCACTGGAGTTCAGTACCCAGCAAAAGCCTAGACAACCCAAAACACCACCAGCACACCAGGTGGATGGAACTCGTTAACTTATGATGGCAACGCATCTAAGAGAATTCAAACTCTGACATTGAACCAGGCGATGGAGTCCCGGAGGTGGTATAGCAGTGGCACGTTGCAAAGTCCGACAACTCTTTCGACGGGGAACACATTATGAGCGCAGTGAAACAAACAAGACGTACTGCTGGTCATCTACTGCAGTGGTTCCAAGACGTTTAAGTTTGGCGGACCGGTGAACAAGTTTCGAAATTTTACCAGGGACCGGTGCATGATTTATTTTTATACTTTTATTTCTATTTGACAATAAATGTTTATGTTATGGGGATCGGCATGGTTAGGCATGCGGACTGGTGAAGATCTACGGACCGCCATTTGTGGACCACTGATCTACTGCATCCTGGTCTGTTCCCGGTCGTCTTGAATAAGTTTTGCCGTTGGTTGAAATAGGCAATGACGAGAGAGTGAGGCTGACGCATTGAGCAACTCTCCCTTACTTTAAACGAAATACAGCTCAAGTCAACACTGTAAAAATATTTTACAGCGTACCGTAAAAAAAATCTTTTCTTTATTGCCAAATAGAAATTTAACTTGTCAAAATAACAATAATTATGTTCGCATTTTATTATAAAAGTATATATATATTATATATATTGTATGGCACCTTTCCGTCTGCGGGAGACGATAGATTATCTTTATTGCTTGCAGCTCTTGGTGTGGCTGGTGAGACCAATCCTCGAATGGCAGTCTTTGTTACATTTCCCACACACGAATGCGGTGGAGCAGTATTTACCGGCCTTCCTCCTCGCTCTTTTTGCAGCTGTTTCCGCCCTGTTTTGATCCTCGGCATGTAGTGATCCTGCCTTCACGATGCCCCGCCATGAGGATCGATCCTCTGCCAACTCCTCCCAGTTTGAGATGTCGATGTTGGCCGACTTCATGTCTCTTTTGCATATGTCTAAGTATCTCAGACGAGGCCGTCCAACTGACCTTTTCCCTGTCGCCAGCTCGCTGTATAGCACGTCCTTTGGTATGCGACCAGGTTGCATTCGCTTGACGTGTCCAAGCCAGCGGAGGCGTCTTTGGATTAACATGGCTGGGACGCTACACATGTTTGTTTGGGACAGGACATCCGTGTTGGGGACTTTGTCTTGCCATTTAATGTCAAGGATGTGGCGCAGGCATCTGAGGTGGAAGCCATTGAGCCTTCTTTCGTGTTTAGAGTATGTGGTCCACGACTCGCATCCATACAGAAGTGTGCTCAGTACGCAGGCCTGGTACACCTGCAGCTTAGTTCTTGTTGTGAGTTTGGCGTTTGACCAGACTCTTTTCTTCAGTCTGGCCATAACAGTTGCGGCCTTCCCTATCCTCCCACTTATCTCATCCTCCATTGAGAGGGTGCTCGATATGTTGGATCCCAGATATGTGAATCTGTCAACAGTATCCAAGTCGTAGTCGTCGATGGCGATAGTGGGGAGGGAGTCAGCGCCCTGTGCCATAATGTTAGTTTTCTTTAGACTAATTGTCAGGCCAAACTCTTTGCAGGCAGCGGATAGGCTGGATACGAGGCTCTGCAGCCGTCAGCTGTGTGAGATACCAAAGCGGCATCGTCCGCAAACAAGAACTCCCGGAGCAAGACCTTTCTTGTTTTAGTCTTAGCTCTAAGGCGGACAATGTTGAATAATTTGCCGTCATCTCTAGTTTGGATGTATATCCCCTCGCTGTTGATCTGAAAGGCATACTGGAGTAGGATGGAGAAAAAGATTGCAAATAAAGTAGGAGCCAGCAC